CCTGCTCTCCCAGAGAATCAGGTTTTATTTCCAGCACCCATGTGGCAGCTCACAATCTTCTGTAACTTGCATTCCAATGGATGACCTTTTCTGGCCTCTGTGATCACTAAGTATGCACAAGATACATGCAGTCAAAACATTCACATGCAGAGAATTTTTTAATTAAAAAAAAATAAAGCTAGGATCTGCATAGGAGAGAGAGCATGCAATATTTTTCTTTCTAAGTGTTGGTTACCTTATTTGATATGTTTCCAGATTCATCTGTTTTTCTATAGGCTTTGTAACTCACTATTCTTTATGGCTGCATAAAATATCATTGTGTATATTTACCACATTTTAATGAAATATATAAATTAATTCCACTTTCTTGCTTTTGCCAAAAAAAAAAAAAAAGTGGTAAGATCGGTGTGTGTGTATCACTGGGGTCTTATATTGTGTTCTTTCTTTGGGTGTATGCCAAGTGGTAGAATAGCTGGATCACATGGTATTTTTAGAATTTTTATAAAATTCATTATTAATTTCTATAGTATCTATTTCAGGTTACTCTGGCACTAGCAGTGACCTAAGGTTCTTCTTTTCTCATATTCTTTGCCATTTTTTGATATATTTTGCTTTTTCAGTGATAACCATATAGACTGATAGGAGAGGGAATCTCAGAGTAGCTTTGATTTGCATTTCTCTGGTGGTTGATAATATTGAAACACATAAAAAAAATGTTTGTTGTCCATTTTTGTTTCTTCTTTGAAATGCTTATTTGGTTCATTAGATTATACATTGATTGGTAGCGTGCGTTTTTACATGAGTGTGTGTGTTTAATTTTTGTAGTTCTTTATATGTTCTCGGTATTAGTCTGCTTTCTGAAGTATAACTGGCAGAATTTTCTACCAATCTATAGGCTGTCTTTTCACTCTGCTGACAGTTTCTTGTGGCTTCTCAAATCCTTTTTAATTTCATGTTGTTGATTTTTATCAGTTCTTAGAGTTGTTTCCTTTGTTATTGGAGTCCTATTCAGATCCCATTTATTAATTCTTAGGGTTATGCCAAATGCTATTAGAGCCTTGTTCACAACTATTTTGCCTATAACTGTAATTTGAAATATTACAGTTCCTTAGTAGTTTCAGGGTTTAGGAAACTATCTACTATTATTTCATTGAATTAATTGTCTATACCTTTTGACTTCTCCCAAGTTCCTTCTATTCATGGATCACTAGGTCTCTTTAATGTAGTTAGGCTTTTCAAATGTTTTGATCATCCTATTAATATTTAAAAATATGTGTCTTAATGTAGTATTATCTTGACTTTGTCTTTTTCTTTGAAACTCATTTTTATGCTTAGTCTGTTCATAAAGCATTCTTTTGTAATTTTCCAATTTGATTGATTGGCTTATATTTCCACTGCTTCTGCTTGGTTCCTCCTTGGTACCTCAAGTTCTTGGTTGAATATTTTTCTCCATATTTTAAAATTTTACTCCAAGTTCCCAACTATTTAATTCACTGGTTACTTTCTTGTCTAGGTCCTGAATGAGTTTCCATATTTTGATTATCTGCTTAACTGAGTGACCTTTATGGCCACTTATCCTTTAAAAAATATCTAAATTTTTCTCTGAAATTTTAACTGTCTTGATGTCTTTGTTTTCTATTTTTGTGGAGCTGATAGGTTGGGGGTGTGTTATGGAGGTTGTCTCATTCTTCTGTGTGTATTTCTTTGTATTTTGTGCATCTGTTGGGATGGTTGTGTAGTGCCACCACTTTCCCCCTTTCCCTAATGTTTTGTTTTGTCTTATAAGAATCCTTCAGAAGTGTGGAAGGGTGGTGTTTACTGCAAACTATGGTCCCCACTTTTATTTGGTTGTGGGGAGTTATGGCTAGCTACCCCTAATGCCTTACTAGCAGTCTTGACATGGCTTGCAATAGCAGACACTAGTGTCCCTGATCAGATCCAGAAATAGCAACACTGGGGACTCATTAAGAAACAAATGAAGTTGATAGATTTTTTTTAAAAAGGTGAGGCTGTCGATATCGTTAAGTAGAAAAATGTGAACGAAATTGGGAAAGTAGCATAAAGGAGGTGGAATATGAATGAGTAGAAATGCATTTGGGTTGACCTGTGAGAGACAGACTAGAGCAGATGTGGAAATATAGAGAAGATTTTTATAGTTGAAGAAAAGGAAGGGACAGTTTTTGAGGTCTTCTTTATAAGATAGAAGTTCAAGTACATAGTTCAATAATTAAAGTAAAAAATACAAATAAAAAAGTAAAATTATGGAAGAAATTGAATAACCAAGAATCAAAAAATAAACAGAAATGTAAAAAAGCAGCTATTATGTATTTGATTATTATGTTTCCTCATTATGAGGATGCAGCTTCTCCCCCTGTGTTGTTATTGGGTTTTTTGTTTTGGTTGTTTGTTTGGTTTTTTTTTTTTCCCTTAGGTTTTTGGTGACAGAGTTTCTCTGTGTGACAGCTCTGGCTGTCCTGGAACCTGTTCTGTAGACCAGAATGGCCTGGAACTCAGAAATCTTCCTGCCTCTGCCTCCCAAGTGCTGGGGTTAAAAGTATGCACCACCACCACAGAGCTGAGGGTAGTCGTTTGTATCCGTTTCTACAGTTTGGAAAGGGCAGAATCTCAGTAATTCAAGCAACACAATGTGGCCCTGCAGATGAGAAGACTTTTCTGAGCTCAGATTGCTTTCTTTAAGAATCCTCAGGTCCAAAGGATTGGCAGCAGTAGTCAGTGCTAAGGCAGCTGGAGAACTGTGCTTAGTAGGGAGTTTAATGAGGTACACAGTGTGAGCTGGGCACTTGGCGTGAGTGTCTGGGCAGAGTTGGTGCACCCTTAGTCCTTCTTCTAACTTTATTCATCCATTCACCCAGACTCAGTTTCTAATCCAGCATCTTACCCAGAATTCCACATGCTCTGTTGTTTATTACTTTAGTTACTGAGTCTGTCCATAATGCCCCTGCTTTAAAAACACCTTCATTACTTTAAAATAAACAGGTCTCCCCATGGCTTTCTTCCCATTCCCCCCTCTCTCTGTACTTCCTCCCTGCTCCAGGGATAGCAACTTTGACTACTCTCTGTGAGCTGTCTGCATTTTTCCTACTGAAAGGCATCCTGCCACATTCCTCCATCTTTTCAGCCCCTCCCTACCTCAGCCAGTCTAGAGTGAGCCTCCTCCTAGCCCGTGTTGCACTCTCTCTTTTCTGCCAGGAACGTTGCTTCTCCTCCTCCACAACCGGCTTAACCTTCCACCATGAAGGACAAGTGCACACTGTAATTTCATTTCTAGTGTTGTATGATGAATGTTCTATAATGTTTCTGATGCTAAGAAGAAATCTCTTTGAATATGTACTTGCCACTTGGTTGTTATATTTGCATTTATTTAGATCATTGGCACTTAAAAAGTCAATAAATTTCTGTTATTCTAGTGGATATTCAACTCTGCATGGTTAATAGTGTATATAATT